CACAGGATGGGCCTTCTCCGGGTGCCGTAGGCCCGACAATGCCGGCTGGCGACTCCTCGGGGGAGGGCCTTCTCTGTAGCTGCCGTCGTCCCTGTGGAACGATCTACCTCCAGAGATCCGGACCCTTCCCACTCTCTCGGCCTTCCGAAAGGCCACAAAAACCTGGCTATTCCGGCAGGCCTGGGGCTGTTGACCTCACGAATGAGGTCCAGCCCCACCTAGATTGAGTGTGTGATGTGTTGCTTTTTAATCTGTTTCTCTCTTTCCTTATTTTTAACTTTTTATTTTTTTAGTTCTGTATTTTGTAAGCCGCCCTGAGTCCTTCGGGATTGGGCGGCATATAAATTCATTAAATTTACAATTTACAATTTAAGATCCACTAGATCAGGGATGTCAAACTGGATTTCCTCGAGGGCCAAATCAACATTGTATTTCTCTTCCGCAGGCCGGGTGGTGGGAAGGGAAGGAGATGGGACGGACGCATTCTGCAGCACCCTGCCAGCCAAAATGGGGCACATGTGGCCCCCTGTGCTCCATTTTCGGCCTGGTTGACCTCCTGCAGCACTTTGCTGGCCAAAAGGGAGTGCAGGGGGCCCACATGCACACCCTGCACCATGTTTTGGCCCCGCAGGGTGCTGCAGGAGGCTGTTTTCGGGCTGGACGGCTTCCTGCAGCACTTTGCCAGCCAAAACAGAGTACAGGAGCCCGCATTCCCCCCCTCCCTGCCCCATTTTGGCTGCCAGAGGCACCATATAAAGACATATAAATCCAATAAATAAACAAACAAACCATGGGTCATTGCTATTTTCAGGCCAGTCCCGCGGATTTAAGCATCCCGTGGGTCAGATCTGGCCCACAGGCCTTAAGTTTGACACCCCTGCACTAGATCCACTATGGAAAGCAGTAAGGACTATTTTAGAAAAAATATCTTCAAGTCCTCCAAACATTCTTCACCTTCTAATCCACAACATGGTTTGACGCCTAGATTAACAACACGTTTTTCTCATGTTGGAATGTATTATTTTTAGATGTATTTGAGTAATAAATGCAGCAATAAGAAAGCACACGTGAAAGA